ACCAACTTTTAAAGATAAAATATACTGCGATCTTGAGCGAATTTTTTATTCCAAAAACATCTTAATTGAAGGCATATCTAGAAAAAACGTCGAAACAATCTAAATCTTTCTATAACTTCTAGTCCTTATAAAATTACATATACCTGTAAAATGCTTACAAAAAATTTTCTCTAGAAGTGTGTATGAACTCTGATTGATTAGTTTTAATGATGCTCCTTTTCGTAGTCAGAATATTTCGAGCGTGGTATCAAAGCAAATTTTTTCGACAAAGGTTCTGATAGTTGCTCTTACTTAATTGGAGCCTTCTAAATTCAATAGCGCCCCCAGTTTTGCCCGATTGGCTTGACTTTTCGAGATAGCTGTACTTGAAATTTTAACAATTTATAAAAAACTCCCTCAGTTTTGGAGATATTTTACTAAAATTTTGCACACGATTGCATTTTTATATTACCTTCACTATCTCTTAAAACCATCGAAATCGGTTCACTATAACATCTAGCTCCCATACAACTGATTGATCAGAGACGTTGTTTTGCGTTATAAGTCCTCCAATTAAGCAGGCAAAAATTTAGTATAGGTTCAATTTACCATATATCACGCATAAAATTTATTATTCATATTTGAAGCTAGAGTTATAACGCAAAAACACATATCTGAGTAATCAGTTGTATTGGAGCTATATGTTAAAGTGAACCCATTTCGATAATTTTAAGGAATAATTAAGGTAATGTTATGTGCAAAATTTTAGTAAAATAACTTCAAAACTGAGGGAGTTATTTATAACATAGTTAAAATTTAATCAAACTTTCAAGTACCGTTATCTCAAAAACCGGAGCCAATCTGGTAAAACGGGGGATGCGATAGAACTTAGAACGTCCCAATTAAATGAGCTCAACTTTTAAAATATTTGCTTAAAATTTACAACTTGAACAGCGCAATTTGAACCCAGCTTATTATTTCGTTTTCTATTTCATGTTTATGCTTCGTCTAACTTTAGAAGCACTTGATGAAAATGAACTACATTTATATTAACCAATTTATTAAGAGATTACGAATAAAATGATATATAAAACATAGGTGTGCTCACAAATTAAGAAACAAAATTTTTTTTTTAAAGCTTACATATTTTTTAGATTTGCCCATATACTTTAACACTAAAGAATTTTATTGAAAGATATAACTAATCTGCCCAAGGATGATAACCACTTTTGATACATCGCACTCTAAGGGCCGGTTGTTCAATGTCTGGTTAACCAAAATCAGAGGTAAAAGCTCCAGATAAATACAACGACTGCTTTATCGATCACGTGTTATATGCATTATGTCGAAATCGTCGAAAATTATGTTTAACTGGGAGGTAGTGATAACCAGACATTGACCAACCGGCCCAAATTGTGATGCACAATCATAAACAGTATAATATTTAGTACTAACTAGGGATGTTGCGATACCATAAAAGTATCGATACCAGTATCAAATTATGTATCAGAAGCTAAGTATCGATACAAGTATTGGTAGTGGTATCTGAAATAAAATATCGATATTTTATCCTTTTGATACACAATATTGATATATTTAATATGAATGATGCAGTTAATGAAAATTAATAAGAAATCTTTAACACCTACACAGCGTAATAAACAAAATATAAAAACTAGCTCGATTTCATCAGAAAATCAGTAAATCTTTCTTTACATTTGTTCTATGTACGAAAATGTCAGATTTTTCAAACAAACGTTGCACGAAGTAAACCGAACCTTTTTCAGTCTTGGTAATGCGATTCCATACTTTAGTTTTCTGCGTAAAAGCAGAAAACAGAAATAACAAGTAAGAAAGTCTAAGTTCGGGAAGAGCCGAATATTAAATACCCGGCGCAAGTATTAAATATAAGTTTTTCACCTTTCCGAAAGCTACCGTTATATGGTAAGCCGGGGTGTATCAATTTTGAGTAAATTAGCGTCCTTAAATTTCGAAATATTGAAGTTTCAAGCATTTCTGAAATTTACCGTTATATGAAAAGCGGCCGTAATTTTAGTCGGATTTCAATAATTTTCAACGTTTTGCTTTGGTACAAATTGGTAGAACGGTTACCGAGATACATATATATGATCATAAGTGAGCGGTGCCACGCCCATTTTCCAAAATTTTACCATAAACGTATTTCTTGGTAAAGAATTGTTGCAAGCATCATGCATTGAAAGCATTGAATAAATTAGCTTTAATATTTACTGATTTATCGAAGATTTTGTATTTGTCTAAATTACCGTTATATGGGATGTGGGCGAGGTTATTGTCCGCTCTTAAAAATTTTCGGCCATTTGGTATGCTGTAGCAAGGTCAACAACTGTGCCAAGTTTAGAAGAAATTGGTGCAGCGGTTACCAAGATATACACATGTAACCATAAGTGGACGTGACTACGCCCATTTTCCAAAAATTTATAATATTCTTATTTTACGTCTAAAAATTATTGTAAATATCAATTTTGAGTGAATAATCTTCAGTAGTTACTAAAATATCGCAGTTTTCGTATTCCTGAAAATTACCGTTATATGGTAAGTGGGCGTGGTTACAGTCCGATTTCGCCCATTTTCAATACCAACCTACCTTGGATAAATGGAAACCCACATGCAAAATTTCCTTGAGATATCTCAATTTTTTCTAGAGTTATCGTGTACGCGAACAGACAGACGGACAGACGGACGGACATAGCTCTTTTCTCTCTCTTTTCATTCTGAGCATTTATGTATGCATTTGTCTATATTTATCTCGATTCGTTTTGGCTGTTACAAACAACCGTTATGTGAACAAAGTTAATATTCCCTTGTGCACAAGTGCGCTTGGGTATAAAAACAAATCAATGTCGTCACGCTGTATATGTACTGTGTTTATACGGTTTGAATACAGTACGGTGCCATACAAGTATCGATACTAGTATCCAATGAGCATAGGAAATAAAATTTCGCACCAACGATAACATAGAGTCACTAATCAGGAAATATACTTAAATAGAATTCTAGGAGCAGTATGGCTTGTATGAAATGATAATTATATTGATGTTATTATGATACATTAAGCAGTATCGAAAGAAAATACCCATATGCGCATCAATAGTATCGTCACCTTAGTATCGAATACCGATTTACTCTGTATCTAAACCAAAGTATCGATACCAAAATTATATCAGTAGTATCGCAACATCCCTAGTACTAACATTCAGTCAGTTCATTTAAATCCGTTGGTGCTTTTCGCGCACTGTTGATATCCTCCACTCCAAAACTATAGGCGGCCCAAAAGATGTATTTTTTTTTCATTTTTATTTTATCTTTTATATTATTATTTTTAAATATATTATTATATGAACAATTACATACATATGTATGCTAGCATCTGTTATACATACATAAGAGTGGTTCACAAAAACACTCTTTTGGAAATTCATAAACGCTACATCAGAATATTCTTATTTGTGGTAAAAAAGAGACATGTATATCTTTTATTTTGAAAAAAAAGAAGTTTTACATATAATTCCAGTAGTATTTTTGGGGAACATTCCCTTAATTACATACCTGTCTTGGTCAGTTAAAATGGTCCTAGTGCCTGAAAATATGCTGTCGAAAAGAGACTAGTAAAATTTAAACGTTGATACTGAACGATTTACGCGTTGTCATGAGTTGGATCTTTCTTCCAGAGGTTTATGGGGTTGCTAATTGGGAATCTGAAGTCAGTTTTTCAAAGTCCAAAATGGCGATCCATCTTTTTTTTAACAGTTGGATTCGTTCGAAACCCCGCACTCGAGAGTTTTTGGGGTCGCCGATTACAAATCTGAAGTCAATTTTTTGAAAACTCAAAATGGCGGATCCAATATGGCGACCAAATAAAAAAAAAATACTACAATTAAAACGTTGATACTGAACGTTTTAAGCTTTCAACAGGGTTGAAACTCGTTTCCAGTGGGTTTCTGAGCTTGCTGATTATGAATCTGATGTCATATTTTCAAAATTCGGTGGAACCAAAATGGCGAACAACTTAAAAAAAAATGATTGGATTTGTTTGAAACTCGTAACCGCCCACTGGAAACGAGTTTCAACCCTTGACAATGTTTAAAACGTTCAGTATCAACGTTTTAATTATTTGATCGCCATATTGGATCCGCTATTTTAATTAAAAAGAATTGAATTCAGATTCATAACGGGCAACCCCAAAAACTCTCGAGTGCCGGTTTTCTAACAAATCCAACCTTTTTTTTTTTGAAAAATGGATCGCCATTTTGGATCCTCCATTTTGAATTTTGAAAAACTGACTTCAGATTCCTAATTAGCAACCCCAGAAACCCCCTGGTAACAACGCGTAAATCGTTCAGTATCAACGTTTTAATTTTACTAGTCTCTTTTCGAGAGCATATTTTTGGGCACTAGGCCCATTCTAACTGACCAAGACCGGTATGTAATTAAGGGAATGTTCTCCAATAATACCACAGTAATTATATGTAAAAACCACATTTTTAGCTGCATTTTAACATGTCAAGAAAATAAAAAATTGAGAACATCAGCGTTTTTATAAAAAACCGACCAGCGCGACCTCTAAGATTTTTTTTTCAAAATAAAAAACACGCTTCTCTTTTTTATCACAAATAACAATAATTTGAGGTAGCGTTTATGAATTTAAAAAAAAAAATTTTTAACCACTCTAACATACATATATACTTATGTGTATATTGAAGCAATGCAAAAATGCAGTAGCAAAGTTGCAGCGTATGCAAATAGTGGGCAGAATTATACAAATGGAAGCCATGAAAATGAGCTCAATTCTCGAGTTTAAAGTGAGAAATTGCAGTTGTTTTATGCCTGTTCTTTCGCGTGTTTTGGTGTGTTCTTGTATATATGTATGTACATATGTAGTCCTCGTATGTGTTAAAGGGCGGTTTCAGTTACGACAAAATATGACTAAAAAGTTTTTATGTATGTATACACGCATGTAGTTAGTATATTGGCATGCTTACCGGAACAGAATTCTGCGTTGCAACTCCACCATTAGCCACCGGTATGTCGCTAAAGCCATGGGCATTCAATGCCGACGAGATGGTGTTGGCACTCAGCTTGGCGTTTCTGAAAATTAAGATGGGAGAAATTTTTAGTTGGCCGAACAAATCTGGATAAGCCAATAACAATGATGGCATAGGTAAAACCATGGGCGTAGCCAGGTAGAGGCAGCGGGGTGCTCGAGCCCCTCCCTAACTTTCAAATTTTCCTTATACATATATAAAATAGTACCCTGAAATGCCAGCTTAATAGGGTCGAGCCAACGCAACGACAACAAAAAAATGTGAAGTGGAGAAGTAAATAATCTATTTTTAACCAACTTCCAAAAAGGGAGGAGGTTATCAGTTCGTCGGAATATTTTTTTTTTTTTTTGATGTATGTTATCGCATAACTTTGGACCGCGATAATTGTTTTTGCATCGGAAAGGTAGTATCTCAGAGGTGGTCCCGTACTAATCTGGTTTAGATCCGATAATTATATAATGAAATACACATATATATTTTTATATGAGAATTGAAGTCGGTTTTCTTTTCTGCTTAAAAATGACTTGTTAATATATGAAAATCAAGTAGACGGAATGTTGCTGTTTTGGTCTTTATTCAGTGCCTTTAACTTTACAACTCACTAATTTCATACTTAAAAGTAAACTTATAGCTATGTTAAGAGAGCCAAAAGTGATACATTACTGTTAATCTTATGTTAATTAACAGTGGCTCGCAGAACTACTCCTGTAATAAATAACTCCTCCACCCGTGGACGTTTGCGTCTCTGCAAGCATTCACAGGATATTTGAAATAAAACTAAACTTGACTAGATATTATAACTATGAACATAAGTAGCAATAAAAATTAAGAATTAGTGAATTTTAGGATCAAAGCAATTGAAGTAAAATTGGTTTGTATACATAGGTAATTAATTTGAAGTACATAAAAACTTTAAAAACTATTATTTAAAATTAAAATATATTCAACAATTTTTATTGAGCTCGAGGTCGTTTTTAATGAAAAACTTATTGTGGAAAAGCAACAATAATTTGAAAAAATAGTAGAAGTGATAGCTATTTCGGAAATCACCAAATTTCCTCATCAGACTTCTTTCAGTAGGATTCGAACCGATCCCACTGACTCAGCCAGTTGCCTACGCACTGTGCTAAGTTAGCCTTGTAAATTATCGTTGCTTTTTTCCCACTTTTTCATTTGCTAAGCCAAACAATCAAGCGCAGCTATTCCGCTACGATTTACACTCACATGCGCCCCACGTTTTTCGTTTTCAATGTCATTAATTGTTTATAATGACTTTTGCTAAAATTTCAAAATCAAAAGTTATCAAAACAAATTCTGTGGGACTGAGATATATTATTTTCTACTTTTTAGTCCATTTATAAAAGCGTTGTATATTAAAAAGTGTTTTATTTTATTTATTTCAAATTATTGTTGCTTTTCCACAATAAGTTTTTCATTAAAAACGCCCTCGAGCTCAATAAAAATTGTTGAATATAATTGTTATAAGGCCATAAAATAACAAAAACAAATAAAATTAAAATATGTACATATGTATATTGAAACTTAGGAAAAAATTAAAATGTGTTATAATTCATTTAGTGTTTTGAAATTTATATTTTCTTTTTAACTGTGTTTATAATATTTTGTTTTCTGTTCCTTGGATGTATCAAAGATATAATTACCTTCCTTCTCAAAGTTTTCAAGTTGTTTAAATTTTGGCTTACTTTTTGGAATTCGCCTGTTTTTAACTATATTATCTTGTTGGCCAATTATTTGAGCTCTATCGCGATTTAGTTTTTTTATTCGCTTATTTTATCTTCCTCGTACTTTTTACTGAAGTTATCTATATAATCTTTGTCGTAATTTTTTATTATAAAATCGATAGGTCGTTTCTTTGTGGTAGTGTGAATTGTATTATTATATACATATATTAAATATTTTGAACAGTTTTTCATCTAATTCCAGATTTTTGTTCTCCTTATCAACCTCCATAATCCTCAAATCCTCTTTTAATATACCATGCAATCTTTCTATATCGGAGTTGACAGTTTTTAAAAATGGTGTAGTTTTGAGAAATTCAATTTTTAGGAACAAAGCAACAGCACTATGTATCATTGTTCATTTTACCTAGGAACTGTATGCGCTTTTTTAACGCATCTAAAATAGCAACCCAATTTTTGTCATTTATTTTATGAAAAGTTGCAAATTTCTAAAATTTATCTATTGTGGTCAAAAACATACGATTTCTGTTAGGGTACCAAATATCAATATGAACAATATCATTAAACTGAGTTGGTGTTGTAGTTATTTGGTATGGCACTTTTAAAGGTTTTCTATCATGTTTGGCGAGTTGACGTATTTCACAGTTGTTAATTACTGAAGTTATCATCCTGTAAAATTTCGGATAAAAATACCTATTTCTTAATTCGTAAAAAACTTCTTGAATTCCCCTGTGATTGTTACGGCAATGTTCGTTTTCAATTAAAGTCAAAATCTCATTTTTGTCTATTATCTCTATCAACTGTATAACTGATCGGTACAAAATTAGGTTACTTTTATGAAAATTTTTTCCGTAAATGTCCTGAAACTTTAAGAAAAGTTAATCGTCCTCGCAATATATGCACATTATGCCTTCACTCAATAGTACCCTACCCATAATCTCAAGTTAGAATTTTTATTTATTATAACATGATTTTGACACTTTTTATTAACAATTTTTGTACAAAATTTTTCATTTTCCCCATAGCTTAAAAATATTTGATTTTTATAGTAATTAACTGACTTTTCGGTTATAAATATATAATTTATATTATCCTCAGCAGCGCTATGAACAGTGGCAGCAGTAGAGCAACGGTCTATATCCTCCTCGTTATTTAATATAACTTTTGCTTCATTATTAAAAATTTCTACTTTTTTTGTCATTTCCTTCCTTTATTAAATGTCTGCTTAATGCGTCCGCAACCTTATTATCTTTTCCTTTAATATAACAAATATCAAAGTTATATTCGTTAAGAAGAATCTTCCATCTCTGCAATTTCATGTTTGGTTCTCTTATATTATGTAGCCATGTCAACGGCTTATAGTCCGTTTGTATTAAAAATTTTCTCCCATACAAATACGTTCGAAAATATTTTACTGCCCAAACAACAGAAAGAAGTTCTTTTTCAATAGTTGTGTATCTTATTTCATGGTCAGATAAAGTCCGTGAAGCGTAGCAAATTGTGTGATTTTTCTGACTCAATGCAGCACATATAGCAAATTGAGACGCATCCGTGGTTAAAATAAATTTTTCATTAAAATCTGGTGGTTGTAAAACGGGATCATTTAATAATATTTTCTTTAAGATTTCAAACGAATTCATGTAATCTTTGTCTTTAATATCAAGAACTGCATTTTGTTTCAAATATTTTACCATTGGAAAAACTACCTTTGCATTATCGCGAATAAATTTGCGGTAATAACCGATGATTCCCAAAAATTGTTTTATTTCTTTCTCATTTTCAGGTAATTTTATTGAGTTTATTGCTTCTATCTGGATCTGGTTTAATACCTTCTGCTGAGATAATATGCCCTAAAAATTTTGTAGATAATGCAGCGAAATGACACTTATCGAATTGGATCTTTAAATTTGATTTGCGTAACTGATTTAAAATTTTTTGGATGGAATCGATATGTTCTTGAAAGCTAGTCGAGAAGATCAAAATATCATCTAAGTAGACGACACATATCCTGTTTATGTATTCTCTCAATACATAATTTATAAGCCTTTGAAACGTGGCAGGGGCTGTGTTTTAAACCAAAAGGCATTCGATTAAATTCATAGTGACCGTCTGCTGTTGAGAATGCAGTCTTTGGTCTATCCTCAGGGTGAACTTCAATTTGATGGTATCCTTTCGCAAGGTCAAGAGTACTGAAATAATTGCATTTACCTAATTTATCGAATATGTCCTGCATATTCGTAATAGGAAATCGGTCATCAACTGTTTGGTAATTTAATCTACGATAATCGATAACAACTAGCCATTTCGGCTTACCGCTGTTATCCAGTTTTTTAGGCACAACCCACAAAGGGGAGTTGTATGGACTATTGCTATGTGCTATTATCCCTTCCTTCAGCATGTCTTTGATTTGCCTATCAACTTCAGCACGATATATAGTGGGATATCTGTAGAGTTTGCTGTATATTGTAATATCCGTTTTAGTTATTATGCGGTGTTTTATTTCACATGTAAACGACAAATTTTCAACCTCTTTATAAAAAAGATCAGTATATTTGTTTAAAACTGTTCGAAATATTTCTTTGTCTCTTGAATTTAGGTGTTCAGAAAACAAATTGGCTAAACAATATTCTTTTTTTTTCCTCTTCACAAATAAATACTTACTTGTTCCATCTCGTTTTTCAAATAATTATCCAAAGATATTTCTTCCTCCTCATTAAAGTAAATAGGTAAACTCGTATTGTCTGTTAACAGTCGTCTGCTTTTATAATCAAATGTTATGTTAAGATCAAATAAAATATTGTTTCCTATTCTTCTTCTTCTTTATTGGCGCTGTAACTGCCTAAGCGATTTTGGCCGAGTCCAAAACAGCACGCCAGTCATTTCTCTTCTGTGCTAACTGACGCCAATTGGAATGCCCTTCTCCACCTGGTCTTTCCAACGCAGAGGAGGCCTTCCTCTTCCTCTGTTACCAGCATCGCGGCCCGCGTTGAATATTTTCAGAGCAGGAGCGTTTCTGTCCATTCGAACGACATGGCCAAGCCAGCGGAGCCGCTGAATTTTAATTCGCTGCACTATGTCTATATCGTTGTAAAGCTCATACAGCTCATCGTTCCATCGTCTGCGGTACTCGCCGTCGCCAACGCGTAAAGGCCCGTAAATCTTCCGCAAAATCTTTCTCTCAAACACTCCAAGAGCCGCCTCATCGGATGTTGTCATTGTCCATGCCTCGGCGCCATACACCAGCACAGGCATGATGAGTGACTTATAGAGTGTGATCTTTGTACGACGAGAGAGGACTTTACTTCTCAATTGCCTACTCAGCCCAAAGTAGCACTTGTTGGCA